ATGATCACCACTGCATCTAAGTCAAGAACGGTTAAGTCATTTGTAGATAGTTGCTTGCTTTGCACTACACCAAAATATTACGTTTGATCATAATGGTTTGATCTATAGCTGCTTGAATTCTTGCTTGCAGCGTTTTCTTGTTTCTTCATCACGCAATGCTTTCATCCCGTTTTAGGGGGTAGGGGTAGGACAATTTCTATCCTAATACGTAAGGCTCCGAAAGGCTTGGAACCACAGGGAGCACACAATCTTGTTGAGTAGGAAGAGATTAAATTAAGCAATGAAAAGAATAAATAGTTAACCATTGCTCGTGTTGTCATCTTTTACTAGACAACCGCTACCTACACGCCCTGCATAAATACTGTAATGCTAAACTCGTACCTAGGTCTTTTTGCACTGTGCAATTATTTTTGGTTTACATATAATACAGTGGGCTACCCTCGGGGAAATGGGAGGTGGCTGCTTAGTAGGGGTTGGCAGCTTAATAGAGGTTTGTGTACCCTGAATACTTTTTCACTATCGGGTTATAAATTAAGCTAAATTTCTTAGTAAACATGGGGTCAATTCAAGACAATCATGATAGACATCATTCTCTGAGACTCTGGGGCAGTTAGTGGAGGCGGGGAAAAAGTCTAAACGGTTCTTTGCCCAAACTTTTTTCTCAACCGTTTAGACTTTTCCCCGCTCCCAATAACTGCCCCTGGGTCTCCAAGAATGACATCTATAATGATTGTCTTGAATTGACTCCATGTTTACTAAGAAATTTATAACCCGATGGAGAAAAAATATTCAAGGTACACCAACCTCTATTAAATGGCCAGCCCCTATTAAGCGGCCACCTCCCATTTCCCAGAGGGTAGCCCAAAAATAATTGCACGGCGTGAAAAGACCTAGGTACGAGTTTAGCGTTACGGTATTTACGCAGGGCGTGTAGGTAGCGGTTGTCTGGTAAAAGATGACAACACAGGCAATGGTTAACTATTCATTCTTTTCATTGCTTAATTTAATCTCTTCCTACTCAACAAGATTGTGTGCTCCCTGTAGTTCCAAGCCTTTCGGACCCTTACGTATTAGGATAGAAATTGTCCTATGCCTAGCCTCTAAAATGGGATGACAGCATTGGGTGATGAACAAACAACGAACCGCTGCAAGCAAGGATTCAAGCAGCAATAGATCAAACGATGATCAAATGTAACGTTTTGGTGGAGTGTGAAGCAAGCAACTATCTACAAATCACTTAGCCGTTTTTGACTTAGATGCAGTGGTGATCATATGTGTCGAAAGAGGGTCATAGATTCATGGTATTCGACCATTAAATAAGTTGACAGTTGGTGATGTACATCGGGTGTTGTGTAAACAAAAGCAAACTTCTGCTTTATGTGCGACGAATGGTGACGGAAACACATCAAATCGGTTTTTGGACCTCCCTTTTACTGCAAATAAGGTTAGAACATTTCAAAGTTATCAGCTCTGTGTCTATGTCAACTTAATATAGCTCAAGACATGTGGCGCGTGCTAAAATATATGTCTAACCCGTAAATTGAAATTTGACGACAGACGGTCAAATATCTGCNCATCGTAACTTTGCTGATTATTTCTGCTTTATTCACATATTTTCAGCTTAGCTTTTAATATGTTCTCAAACATTTATCAATCTTAAACATGTTTAAAAGCTACAGAGCGGCGGAAGTTCAATTTGTCATGTTTACTGACTGTACAAAACACGCATCAGCGGGCGCTCTCATTCATGTAATGTAAACCAAGCAACTATCTACAAATCCCTTAGCCGTTTTTGACTTAGATGCAGTGGTGATCATATTTAACGAAAGAGGGTCATAGATTCATGGTATTCGACCATTAAATAAGTTGACAGTTGGCGATGTACATCGGACGTTGTGTAAACAGAAGCAAACTTCTGCCTTATGTGCGACGAATGGTGACAGAAACACGTCAAATCGGCTTTTGGGCCTGCCTTTTACCACAAATAAGGTTAGAACAATTTGAAATTATGAGCTCTATGTCTATTTCAACTTAGTATAGCTCAAGACGTGTGGCGCGTGCTAAAATATATGCCTAACCCGTAAATTGAAATTTGACGACGGATGGTCGAATATCTGCATTTTTAACGTACTTTGAAAAGCTCTCGCGTCGCTCACAATCATTTGCCTAAAGAAATTTTTACAGGAATCTGTAGACCATCCTTCTGCGATTCAACCACCAGAAGTTTGATCCATTTGAAGGTTTCGCACATGGTGAAAATGAATTATTTTTACGAAGTACTTTTAAGTGAATGAAATACATGTCTTCGAAATTTAATTATTTTGCACCCAAAAAGA